CTTCAGACCACCCACTTTCCATGAAGCTTTGCAGAGTCTTGTCTGCTGCCGCACACGCTGTCTGTTAAATGTTCCATGAGCTGGATACACCTCCAACATTGTTGCTTGGGTGCTAGGGAACTATAGTGCTTTCCTTAGCCGTATCTAGGGCTTGGAGTCCTTTGGAGAATCATCACTGGCTGCTGTGGGGAGTAGGCTGGGGTGAATTGGCTGTTTCCCTCACCTAAGGACTCATGGAAGCAACTGGCCAGTATTCATGGACAGTCCAGTAGGCCAAGAGGTAAGGAAGCATGGTTGAATGGTTAGGATGCTGACTTAGGAGACCAAGATTCAATTTCCTGCTCTGCCACAGACTTTCTACCTTGCGTAAATCACCTGGGGAAGTGTCCCCTTCTGTCCATGCTTTAAAAAGGATGTTTATAAATTGGAGCGGGTTCTAAAAAGTGCTACGAGAGTGATTTGAGGTCTGGAAAAATCTGTCCTGCTGAGATACACTGAATAAATTCAGCTCCTTTTAGCCTAATGGAAAAGGTTAAGAGGCGACTCACTGGTTCATGGTCTCTAAGTACCTACATGGGGAAGAGATTTCTGATGGTAGTGTGCTCTTTATCGGTCAAAAGCATTCCATGATCCAATGGATGGAAGCTGAAGCTAGACAAATTCAGCTAGAAATAAGATACAATTTTTTTTATGTTGAGGGCAACTAATCATGGGAATAATTTGCCTAGGACATAGTAAATACAGAAACAAGGTAGATGAGGTAATATTGTTTATTGGACGACAACTGTGGGTGAGAGAGAAACTTTTGCACTTACACAGAGCTCTTCTTCAGGTCTGGGAAACTAACTCGGTGTCACTGCTATATAAAAGGTTGAACAGATTGTGCAGCTGTAACTCTGAGTACTTTTCCCAGACCTGAAGAAGAGCTCTGTGTAAGCTTGAAAGCTTGTCTCTCTCACAAACTGAAGTTGGTCCAATAAAAGATATTACCTCACCCACCTTGTCTCTTTAATAGGCTGGGACCAACACGGCTCCAACAACACTGCATATAGTAAATACAGTCACTCTACAATACAGAACTCTTACCAAAAACTACAAGTGGCAGCTCATGCCAGATCTCTGCCAGTCTGTAGACAATGAATGGAGTTATGATCCCACCAATATCACACATGGAAGAGCAGACAAGTACTCCCAGGTTCCTAGAAAATATATGTACATGAAATGTTCCCCCATTATTAATTTGTTTAAAAAGCATTCTGCAGCTATTCACTTAAACATTTTTAGCAATGCATACAGAAGAGTAGGCAAGCCATTCCTGTTAACAATACTAGGAGGGATGTGCCTAATCTGTTGCATATTGCAATGGTAATGTCCCCACCGGGATATAATGAGAACATAGTAGGCACTAGTGGGCTGTCCAGAAGAACTTAGGAATTGATTTGTGCACTAGGCATTGGTCTGAGACCTGATCTTATTTAACATCTTCATTAATGATCTGGGCAGAGGGGATAAATATCTTGTTAATGAAATTCACTGATGATATAAATTGGGAAGAGTTGCAAAGATTGGTGAGGAAATAAAATAATAAAAAGGAACTTTAAAAAGTTCACCTCTGATTGGGCTAATAATAACCAAGAGTAATAGGATGCAGTTAATAAAAAAAAGGGTGAAACGTCAGGCAAATCTTCCAGTGAGATGTACTAGGAAATGCAAGTGTTCCTTAGGTGGTGCAATAGAAGCCCCATGGTTTTGAAGATATAAATCTAGACTGGATAAAGCACTGCAAAAAACACTCTAAGAGATGGACAAATGTCCTGTAGGTTTTCTGTTCTTCCTTGTATAATACCTTCATTTAATCAGGTTTTTTTGGAGGGGAGGGGAAAAGGATGAAGCAGAGGAGGCGTTGAAATGATTTATGACATACACTTCAGAAACCTGCCACCTTTAGTCTGTGGCACTGTCCTCCAAGTAGTGTGAACTGAGGGAGAAGGAGGAAAGGGCAGAGAACAGAACCTGGGTGTCTTATGGCACCATGGCGTGCTAGTTGCTGGTTATCGGGCTGCTGTTCACATTGTTTGACTTTTTTTTTTTTTTTGGTGTATTTCGTAAATACAAAATCACTTTGTTTGGGCACTACATGGCCAGCAGCTTCCCCTCCTGTAGCAATAGCCTCCAGCCAGCCTCCATTGGCAATCCTCAGGCCCCAATCATTCTCTCCTGGCTTGCGTCCACTAGATCTCTGATGCTGCAGCTTTTTCATTCTTCATTGGCTCCTTTTTCGCCATCTTCTGGGGGCAGCCTTTCGGCATCACCACAGCTATAGTCCTGAATCAGTCTTAAAATCAGCCAGTGCCAAAAGTGTTTCACGTCGCTGGCCTAGATGCTAAATATCCATCTATAGAGTGATTATTCTCAAATCCAATCCTGTGTTTTGTGGTATTTGAAACAACTTTTGCAGTGAATGTTGTACATGAAGCTCTCCTCCTTTGGGCCATGCAATGCATTTGGATAGGTTAAGGTGGCTCGCTATACTGTTTAATTTAGAATGAAACTTCTGTCATTTGATAGACACACTATTCTATTTTTTCTACTGTGCAGTCTGTGGCTCTAACGTGTTTCTGTGATACCCTTGAATCAGTAAAGAGAGACACTTTGCACTCTTAGCCATCACCTTGTATGCTGGATTAATAGAAGACAGTGTACTCACCTGAGAAATGTTGGGTACAGTTCTGCATTTACTAGGCAAACCATTTCATAGCACATGGTAATTCCCATTCTGCCCAAGCAAGCTGTAGTAATTTTTAGCCAATAGATATCTGGAAGGAAGTCACATGTTAGCATTACAGTGGTGGTTGTTTTTTTCTGATCATGTCATAAAAGAGTGTGAAAAATTGCATTTAGTGAAAACCATACAGCACAGGAACCCCACAGGGGCAGCTATGAATGGGTTCTCCTTTCACCCCATATCCCAGTTTCATATCCTCCTTTCACCCCAGTTTACAATACTAGTACTTCAGAGCATTTTAAGCATTTTAGATTTGTCAGTGTACTGTACAGTCATCAAGTAACTGACCCCCACAACACTCCTCGGAGGTAGGGTAAGTAGTGATCTCTTAGTTTCCCTATTTGTAAAATGAAAGCAACAAAGATAGTCACTTCTCCAAGGGTCACACACACGGACCTAGGATTAGAACTCAGGATGTCCTAGCTCTAGCCACAAATGTAATTGATTAGCCTACATTCCCTCCTCGTATAAACCATGAAGTGTCTGATCGCTGTTTTAAAATGAGTTTGTTCTGTCAGCTGAGCTCAGTTTTTGGGCTGTATGTAAAACTTCAGGGAGGATGTATTATGTCTTAAGTGACTAGTAGACTTGAGACTATACATATAAAAGAGTATATTAAATCTTGTAAGAGCCTGGTGTCTCTCACTGGGCTTGTCCATCAGATTAGGTGTGTACGAGTTCTTTGTGTGTGTGTGCAGATCCAAACTTTGGGGTGTGCAAAGACATGGCTGCCCAAAACAGTGTGCTTGTGAACTTGCATGTGCAAACTTACAGGCTGAGTTGATGCCATTTGGGAAATTTAGCCCATTATGTGCCCTGTTTTTCAACAGTTGCGTTATAAAAAGCAATTAGAGAGGGGAAAAATTATTGGCAATTTTTATCTTCACCAATGTTTGTGGGGAAAATGTCTATAATTTGTTTCCACTGAATTGCAACACTGATGTGGACTACAATAGCAAAAGTGGTCTTTTCATCTCTCCAGAACAAGAACGAACACACACACACTCTCTCTCTCTCTCTTTCTCTCTCTCTCAGGGGTAACAGTGACACAGACTAACAAAAACTTGAGTAACTCACTGTCTGGGATGAAAGCTGTAAGAAGGCAAGCAGCCCCTGCCACCAGATTTGCTGCAGCCCAGGGATAGCGACGGCCAATGCGATCAACTGTAAGTATGAGTATGAGGGCAGCTGGGAATTCAACCAGTGCAGAATAGAAGAAATCCAGATAAATGTTCCCACCAGCAATCCCCATGTGCATGATGAGCCCCTGGTACAGAACAGAGCTTGTGAACCTAGGCAGAGAGCAGAGTCCAACTGAAGCCAAGTTTGCAAAGGGATAGATTATTCAAAGAATTAAGATGCATTGCCAGTCAAGGGCCATATGGGGAAAACAGCCAAAGTAACTATGTGTGGGAGGGCTTGGGGGTGGTCTAATGCTTTGAAATGAAAACTGCGTTACCCTTCCTTACCAAGTGTACATCAAAATGAGTGTATGTTTCCTTATCTGAGGTGTTCTGACCAGGTCTAGAAATGAAGGGCTCAGCTTTTCCCCATCTTCCTCTTCAGGGTTGAGACTCTAGGAAAGAACCAGAGGGACATTAAGGAAGAGGTTAGGGGGTGAGAGTCTGGGGAGTTCGGCCTTGTTTATTTTCATTGAATCAACATAAACATCATTGTTTCTGGAATTTTTCATTTACCAATTAAGAGTCTGTCTGCAAAGTAACCAAAAACCGAGGGGAATTGTGAACACTTAAACAGCCCACCCTTTCCCCCAGCTGTCTGTACCAAAGCCCCCTCATTAAATGAAGTAACATTTATTTTTAAAAACGATAAATGAATAAAAGATACTTTGGAATGTTCAGTCAGATGTGATCTGGTTGGTTGAATGCTGCTTGATACTTTATAAGAGGAAGAACTCATTTTGGCTATTGGAATAGTTATAGGAGTCTCCATTCATGTCAGTATGTTGTTTTAATATCCGAGGCTTTCACAAAAAGACAACCACTCAACTCCTCTTTGCAGAGTTGCAGCACTTTGGCTTGTCATTTTGCTCCTGGTCTGGAGTCAGAGCAATCCTAAATATATAGCATTGTTTGCTTGTAATTACACACCCAGGAAAAAAATACATGATCACCTGTAAAGAGGGAGGCACCTTTTTCCCATTTCCCTTGGCAATACGGTTAATAATTTTCATGGCTTTGTCATTTCTCTGTTGAGCTATCAGCCACCTGGGTGACTCTGGCAGACACCTGCAACACAAGCAATCAGGCACAGGTACGTGGAAACAAAATATATGTCACTGTAACACTGTGTATTCAAACTAAATTGAGTTTCTGTTGATAGGACATTAAGGGGTACAGAACACCCATAACTCCAGCTGAAGCCATGGGGGGAAGGGGGTTGAGGATGCTTAGCTACTCTCAGGTTCATCATTTCATCGTTTCCAAGGTCACAAGGGACCATTGTGATCATCTACTCTGTCCTCTTGTATAACATAGGCCAGAGAACTCCCCCAAAATAATTCCTAGAGCACATCTTTTAGAAAAATGTTCAATCTTGATTTAAAAATTGCTAATGATGGAGAATACCCCACAACCCTTGGTAAATTGTTCCAGTGATTAATTATCTCACTGTTAAAAAAAAATTGCATCTCTTTTCCAGTCTGAATTTGTCTAGTTTTAACTTCCAGCCATTGGATCTGTGTAGATTGAATAGCCCATTGTTAAATATTTGTTCCCCATGTAGGTACTTATAAAATGTGATCAAGTCACCCCTTAACAAAGAGAAGGCTAAGTTAAACAGGCTCAAGAAGCTCAGTCAATATAAGGCAGGTTTTCTAAATCTTTAATCATTCTTGTGGCTCTTTTCTGAACCCTCTCCAATTTATCAACATTCTTCCTGAATTGTGGACGTCAGAACTAGACACATATTCCATCAGTGGTCAGACGAAGGCCAAATATGGAGGTAAAATAAACTTTCTATTCTTACTTGAGTCTCCTGTTTATGATGACATCGTCTGGCTTTTAGAAAAAAAAACATTTGCTATATTTTGAAATAATGTAAGAAAATGCTCCAGAAATACGAGAAGGGGCTGCCATTTTTCTAAATTGTGAAATTGTGATGAAACTTTTTTGCTGAAATTCTGATGAAATAGTCAACAAAATGTTTGCAGATTTGTTCTATTCATTTATTTATTTTATTTATTTATTGTCTGCCATTTTAAACCAACAGAATCATAAAAATGTTGGGCTGGAAAGGACCTCGGCAGGTCATCTAATGAAATCCTGAACTGAGGCAGGACCAAGTGAACCTACACCGTCCTGGACAGGTCTATGTCTAACCTGTTCATAAAAGCCTCCAGTGATGAGGATTTAACAACCTCCCTTGGAAGCCTCTTCCAGTGCTTAACTACCATTATAGTTAGGAAGCTTTTCCTAATATCTGACCTAAATCTCCCTTGCTGCAGATTAAACCCGTTACTTCTTGCCCTACCTTTAGTGGACATGGACAACAGCTGATCACCGTCCTCCTTCTAACATATTTGTTTAAGAACTGGTTGGACAAACACAAGTCAGGGATGGTCTAGGTTTACTTGATCCTACCCCAGCACAAGGGGCTGGACTTGATGAACTCTAGGGATCCCTTCCAGCCCTACATTTCTATGATTAGGTTTGAAGGATGCTATCAGGTTCCACTCCCTTTCCCTGTCAGTCTTCTTTTCTCAAGACTAAACATGACCAGTTTTTTAATCTTTTCTCATAGTTCAGATTTTCTAAACCTTTTTCTCATTTTTGTAGCTCTACTCTGGACTCTCTCCAGTTTATCCACATCTTCCCTAAAGTTTGGCCCCAAACTGGACACAGTACTCCAGCTGAGGCCTCACCAGTGCTGAATAAAGTGGGACAACTACCTCTTATGTCTTATATATGACACTCCAGTTAGTAACTCACCAAAATTTCTCTAGATGGGTCTAGAGAAACACCCTGGAACTCTGTGCATCGGGTAACAGTGGGTGGTGGGGAGTTCAAGCCCAAATGTGGTATTGAATTTTGCAGCTGGCCCATAGCTCTCTAATGGATCAAACGGAGGCCTCTAGATTAAAAAAACCTCAAGTTTGGAAGGAGTGGGATGACATGCAAAATTCAGACCTGGATTTGAATCCTGGCCCCCATCTCTAAATAAGCCTAGAATAGTGACCTAGTAGCTAATGTTTTATTATTGCCATTCTGAGGCTGAATGTACGGAGAAGATGCTGGAGATGCAGCACCCTTGCTATGGATGATAGAATGGAATAGAGTGTCTTACATTGTTAGGTAACAACCTCTTTACTCATTAACAACACTGAGTGCTAGATTGACCATAACACTGCATTCATGATATGGTAGATTTTTTTGTGCAGAATATTCTAAAATCTCAGGTTAGCTGTCTAATCAGGTGAGAAGTAGATCTAATAGAAAAATGGAATTTCCATCCCCTGGGAACCTCCAATATCTCAACATTTCTTTTCATCCTGAATCAGGAAGAAAAGTCAAAATATCAAAACTTTTTGAAGAACAGGTTCCAAACAATTTCAATTCAAAAAAGTTGAAACATTTTGTTTTGGCTCAGGTTGACATTAGTGTGTGTGTGTCTGCCTTTGCCACTGTGATGCCTTATGTGAGTTGTTCTGGGTTCTTCATGCCCTCATTATCTCCTATAGACAATGCACCCTGGTTGAACTACATCTGTTATGATGCAAGGTGGTCTTTTCCTGTGATTGATTCTTATGGGACTCCCATGATATACTGCAATGGCTCAGCTGCAGAGAAAGACAGCCATGCATCATGGGAGATGTAGTCCAGTTGGAGAAGAATGGCCCATGGGAGAACCAGGGAATGAGAGACCTGAAACTATAAATACCATGAGTCAACACAGTGGCTTTGGTAGACACACAAGTTAATGTCGACCTGACATGAAAAAGAAGGTTTCATTTAGATTTTTCTAATGGAAAGTTCTGTAGAAATTGGTCCTTTCCTGTGAAAAATTTGAATCCTGGTGAAAACCCATTTTTCAATGGTAAAATGTTACAGCTGAAACCTTTTTGACTAGCCCTAACAATAAACTAAGGTTGTCAAAAGGAGCTTAAACTGTAAACTAAAATCTCCATTTTGTATTTTTGCTCTTGGGTGAAATATAAATGTGCTTACCAGTAATAGAGCAAGAAGAAGAAGTTTGGCAGAGTAACAGTGAGCTGCAGCCATCTCCAGTGAGGAATCATATAAGCAATAGCAGAGAGTACAAGGAGTCCGACAGAAAAGGCTACTTGGTAAACAATTCCTACTGTCCTTCTATAGCTTAAGCCAACAAATTCTGTGACTAAAAAGATAACACAAATCAAGGTAGAAAATAATCAGTGATAAATCAATTTAGAGATTGGAGAACCTCGATCCCCGAATTTAAAACCATTTAAAATTTAATAGATTCTAGAATTTATGACCTTGTAAAATTTCTGTCCTATCTAGAAGCCTTAACAGCACTTTAAACTGAGTTCTCTTCAATAATGTATAATAACTATTTAAAAATCAAATTCTACAAATTGGTCATGTTTCATGAACTTCTGTTACATAGACTCTTTGAAAAATTTGGATGTTACTAAACCACAGTCAATTTCTAACCATGATTTTGGTATCTAAATATTTACCTTTTTAAATGAATACTGCTAAGTGGAAAATGGCAGTAGATTTAGGGGTGAGGGGGTCCAGGGGAGGAGGTAGACAGCTTGTAATTGATGTTTCTTGAGAATGTTGTGTATGTAGTTTAATAGATGTCGATGTATGGTTATGTGGACTTGTATTAGAAGCTGTTCAGTATCATTATTGTGTGCATATTTAATTTTTAGATTTCTTTTTTTCAGAAAGGGCTTGGTGATATGTTCTCATTTTGAGATTACAGATGAAAGAAGAGTATTTGTGTGTCAGAGTTAAGGGTGTTGGGTTGTGACGAAATATGCGTTTCTTTGTACTTGATGTGAATAACAGGTGAAATCCCATCCTCACTGAAGTGAAGGGGAGTTTTGCCGTTGACATCAGTAGGGCCAGGATTTCACCCATTAACATGTTATGTGGACAAAGCATTTAAGTGCTTTGGTTTTCTAAATGTAAAGAGGGAGCACAATATTGTCATGTAGTAACCTTACCTTGTCTGGAAATACAGTTTTTTATACGGTCTCAAGTCATGGAACCCCAAAAAGTCTGGTGAACAAAAAATTCAATTTGGACACTACACTACTCACTACCTTTTGAGGCCAGCCCCACTCGGCCTGTACAGGTATGTGTACACTGCAGCTGGGAGCGGGTCTCCTAGCCTGGGTAGACAAAGGTGCTTGAGCTAGCATGCTAAAAATAGCAGTGTGGAAGTTATGACATGGCCAGTGACGCAGGCAAGGCTCCCAAATAGAAGCCCACCCAGCCCCTTCAATCCATACTGAGCTGGCTAGCCCTGGGTCTTCCTGGGCTTGCTTCCAGCTGTAGGTACACCCTTAAAATGTAACCTGCCTTTGACAACATTTCCAATTAATCCATGTCCCTATATGGGTATTTATTTGAACATATGCTTGTTAATGTGGGAAGGCACAGTATTTTCCAAAACTGTCTTATTCCAATATGCGTAGGCTTCTCAAAGGCTTAAGGAAGAATGCCAGGTTTTTAGATCTGAAAACCCTGCTATTGTGACCTCTGAAAAGAAAATGTGATTTTTGACATAAATCTTGGTTTTGAGCATAGAACTGCAGTTTTTCAATGAATAAAATGAGCTTAATTTTTCAATGTGTTACCCAGTGAGCTAATAATTCCTTACATTCAGCTGTATTAGAACAAATCTGTTCAGCCCTACTTCTAAACCCGGGGCTTTATTCCCAGAAGTGGTAATTGCAATCCGTCTTACTCAGTACGTAGCCTGTTAACCAGCCTCCCTTGCTGACCAGTCCTTGTATGAAACGATAGATCAGCATCCACATGTAGCTTGGTGCAAAGGCCATGAGAACTCCAGAAATGGAATTGACAAGGATTGTAATTAAAAGGCATAATTTACGACCAAACCTGCAGAGAAACAAATGTATCTGTGATTGTTATATGCATTACATCATGTAAAATACAACTGAAGAGCAAACTTTCCCGTGGCTGAGTCATGATGGTTGCAAAGCAATACTTTTTGAATTCATTCTATTGAAAGAGCTGTTATTTTCTTCTGTTATTGCCCTCTTTTTTTGCCTGTGGAGGGGCGACAGCTAGAGTCTCTGTCCTTATATCTCCTTTTACCCACATGATTTCCCCGCTACTTTTAATGAAGGCAGGAATTGCTTTGTGGTTCCCCTCCACCAAGATTTTCCCTTTACAATGATCTTGGTGAGTTCTTCCAGACTGCTTTCACCCATGTGTTTGCACATTTTCTTACCATAAACACTTACTGACCGGGCTAATGGGCTCTGGAAACATCCTGTGGTGGCTTACGCTACATTGATCGGTAATAGTTCTTCTATGCTACAGTAGTTGACCTACTACTACAATGACCTCCATTGACCTATTCAATGACACTAATTTTTGCCTCATTCTGATCATCCTTCCCCAGATATAGTGCTCAGAAATTTCATATTGGGCCTGCAGCTGTCTCTCCATTGGTATCCTAATGGCTCCACTAATATTCAAAAGCAAATGTTTCCAAAAGAAACAGGCTTATTACAATGCTGGAAAGACATTTTGGTTTGGTTTAATAGAGAACTCTTTATTTAGTTATTTATAAAAATGCACCGTCAGTCAAAACTCTGCATCCCAATCCAATAAATGTACACTAACAAAAACAGCAGAGTGACAAATGACAGCCAAAGTAAATTTCTTTTCCCCTCAAAAACATCAGCAGCTCAAGTCACTCAGATGCCCCCTTCCATCAAATCCTGCGTAAGCAGGTCATTTTGAACTATGTCCTAAGGG